CCTACAACAAAGAAACTAATACAATCTAACCCAAGGGCGGTGAGCGCGAAGGCTTGCTAACGCCGAGCGTAGACTTTCAAGTCAAATCTAGCCCAAGGACCAAGTTAATATTATGCTGAGTAAGAGAATACAAAGGATGGCTTACCTAGCCCAAGGACCAAGAGGTCAAGATGAGGGCTAGGGTCGCTACAGGTGGGGTTTATATACTGAGTCAGGGGAGCCAAACATGTACAAACGTAAAGGTGGTCTGTGCGCACATTAGTGCCAGTCTGCAGGTGGGGGTCAGGTGACTGGTCACATGCTCTATCTACTGGTTCTAAGTCTAAGTGTTGTACAAATGGCCGTAGAAAATCAGGAAAAATGCGGAAAAATATAGGGGTCTCGTCGTCTCCACGACATTACCCCCCTCCTATTGTCCATTGTCCCTGATGGACCCACGGCCCGGGAAGCGTCCGCTCTCCCAGTCGCGGTCCGGTGGTGCGGCATCTGTGAAGGTCACGCGTGGCTGCCATGGGAGGTTCTTGAAGTCAACGGCCTGGATCTTTCGAGGGGCGCTGGGTGCGTGTTTGTGGAACTCGGCTACCTTCTCCGGTGCGTTGGTCAGGTTTGATGCCGGTTCCCAGCTGTCCTCGCCTTCACCGTACCCCTTCCAACGTACGAGGTATTGTAGTTGGTTGCGGTAACGGCGGCTATCCAGGATCCGATCGACTTCGTACTCCTCCTCTCCTTCTACCTCTACAGGTTCCGGCGGTGGGGGTAGGCGACCATTGACCTCGTTGCCCCTCCATGGGGATAAGCGATCAACGTGGAATACATCATGAAGCTTGAGCGCGGGGGGAAGGGTTAAGCGATAGTCAAGGTCTCCGATCCGTTCAGTGACTTCGAACGGGCCGAGTTGCCGGGGTCCTAGCTTAGGGGTCACTTGGTGGATGTGGATGTTCTTAGCGGTGAGCCAAACCCGGTCGCCGACCTTGAACGTGTGTGCTTTTCGCTTGCCGTCTTCGTAGGCTTGCTTCATGCGTTCCTTGCTCATGCGTAGTGCCGCTTCCGCTTCCTTCTGGGCTTCTCGGAGCTTGCTGAGCCGAGCGTCCAGAGATGGGATCTGCGTGGGACGTCCTGCCGGGATGGTGAAGTCCGGGCGGTAGCCATACAGGACTTCGAATGGAGTTTGTCCATGAGCTGTCTGTACCCGAGAGTTGAGCACAAACTCCGCCGTAGGGAGGAGGTCCACCCAGTCGTCCTGTCGCTTGTCGCAGTAGATCCGAAGGTATTGTTCTACCTCCTGATTGGCTCACTCCGTCTGTCCGTTTGCCATGGGGTGATACGCCGTGGTGAGACCGCTTTCGATACCAAGGCGCTTGTACAGGGCCCTGGTGACATGGGCGGCGAACTGGGGCCCCCTATCCGACACAATTTTCTGGGGAATGCCGTGAAGCTGGAAGATGGTCTGATAGTGCAGTTCGCCTATCCCCTCGGCGGTGACGGTGTCGGTGGTGGCTACCAGGTGGACCTGCTTACTGTAAAGGTCGACGTACGTGGCGATGGCGTTGTACCCTTTTGACGAGGGCAGTCCAGTAATCAGGTCTACTCCCATGACTACCCAAGGGCCTTCGGGTACCTCGTGCGGTTGGAGTGTGGCCCGGGGATGCGCGGCCGCCTTGTAGCGTTGGCATTTGTCGCAACCCAGGACGTACTTCTCCACAAACCCGCTGATCCCCGGCCACCAGTACAGCCGTGTGACTAGTTCGACCGTCCCATGCTTTCCTGGGTGTCCGGCCGTCGGCGCATCGTGGCACTGCCGGACGATGGCCTCGCGTAATCCTTCCTCGGGCGGGATGTACAACCGACCCTGGTAGTACACCAGCCCTCCCTCCTCTTCCCATTCCCACGTCCCATCCGTCAACCTTCGCGGCCCGTCCTCCCGAAGGGCTTCCAAACCCTTGAGGACTTCCGCCTCCCGCCTGCTACTCTCCCTGATCCGTTCCTCCAGCGGGTTAACCGCGCGTAGTGCTGACGCCGCGATGGTGGCAAAGCGTTCGGGCCGAAGGACAATCTGATCCTGATTGTCCTCGGCGTCGGTGACTTGAAACTCCGAGATGCGTGAGAGGGGGTCGGCCTGGGTATTGGCAGTTCCCGGCTTATGTGTGAGTCGGAAGTCAAAGCGTGACAGCCAAAGAGCCCAGCGCGCCTGCCTCCGGGTGAGGTTCTGGGTGGTGCGCCAGTATTCGAGGTTGCGGTGATCGGTGATGATCTCGAAGGGCTCAGGTAGCCCCTCGAGAAAGTGCCGCCAGTCCTCCAGTCCTCTCACGATGGCCAGCAGTTCTCGGTCATAGATCTCGTAGTTTCGCTCGGCCTCCGTCATGGATTCCGACCGGAATGCGACCGGGTGCCAGAGTCCATCCTCGAGCTTCTGCAGAAGGACCCCTCCGGTGGCGTATCCCGAAGCATCTACCTCGACTCGCGTAGGGCGGTCTGGTTCCCAGGTCACCAGCACCGGCTCCGTGGTGAAGGCTTCCTTGAGGGTGTCGAATGCCGTTCGCTGCCGCAGTCCCCATTCCCAGGCGACGTCCTTCTTGGTGAGGTCGTGGAGCGGTCGTGTGATCTTAGCAAAGTCTTTGATGAAGCAACGGTAGAAGTTGGCAAACCCGATGAACCCGCAGACCTCCCGTAAGTTCCGTGGGGTCGGCCAGTCGCGTACAGCCTGGACTTTGATGGGGTCCATACTGACTTCGCCCTGTCGGATCACCAAGCCCAGGTACTCGATCTCAGTCTGCTCGAACTCGCACTTTTCGGGTCGTAGGAACAGGTCGTGTTCCTGGAGCCGACGCAGTACTTCGTGTGTGACCCGGCGGTGCTCTTCCCGTGTGTCACTGAAGATGAGGATGTCGTCCAGGTACACTGCTACCTTCCCAGCGGCTATCAGGTCACCGAAGATAGAGTTCATCAGCGCTTGGAAGGTGGCCAGGGAGTTGGTGAGACCGAAGAACATGACCCGTGGTTCAAACAGACCCCTATTGGTCGTGAAAGCTGCTTTCCACTCATCGCCTTCCTTGATCCGGATGTTGTTGTAGCCCCAACGAACATCGAATTTGGTGAAGTACTTAGATTGGCGAAGGCGATTGATGATGTCAGAGGCGAGGGGGAGTGGGTACCGGTTTTTGACGGTGATGTCATTCAACTTTCGATAGTCTTGGACCATGCGGAGTTTCCCGTCCTTCTTCTTGACGAAGAAGACCGGTGAAGCCATGGGGGACTTAGAGGGGACGATGTAACCCTTGCGAAGGTTCTCATCGAGGAAGGCGTCGAGCTCGGCTTGCTCATTTACCGGCATTGGGTACACCTTGGAGCGGATAGTCTCGGGGGCGTCGGGCTTTAGATCGATGGTATGATCATATGGCTTATGCTCGGGTAGGCGCTCCGAATCCGGTTCTGAAAACACCTTGGCGTACTGCCGATATTCCTCGGGAACCATTTCGTCGAAGGTCTTCTTCGGCTTGGCCTGATGCGCTTCGGCGGCGAGCTCGGTGGAGTACGTGAACCCGGCGGCACACCAGAGTTCCTCCGTGGCTTCCTCAAGCACACTGTGCTTTTGCCAATGCCGGCGAAGGCGTCTGTTGGCCGCGATCTTCTCAAACGGGGGGAGATCTTCCTCGGGGACCGCCGACCGGTCCTCCGTATCAACCTCGACCCTGCTGTTCGTCCAATCGATCTGCGGGTTGATCTTTTGCAGCCAGGGAAGCCCCAAGATCATGTCCTCCGGCCCAATGTTGGTAACTAAGAACTCGGTGCGCTCGGTGTGCGTGCCGATGCTGAGTTCGAGTCGGGTGTAGTGGGTGATACTGCCAGCTTGGTTACGGGAGCCGTCAATATTATGAAGCGGGATGGCTCGGGCGAGGGGATGGATCATGACTCGATGCATGTCGACGAAGTGTTGATGGATGAATAGACCTGTGGCTCCAGAGTCTATCATGGCTACTGCAGCTACGCTACGGTTTCGTCCTTTGACGTTCACACTGATACGGAAGTGAGAACTATTCACATCTATTTCCGGTATACTAAAAGTACAGGAGGCGACGGAATCATAGATGGACGAGGACGGGGGATGCGTGCGTAAACCTTTGGGCGGCGGCGTCGTAGCCTTATTGCGCGCCTGTTCTAAAAAGCCTGCTTCATCGCTTCAATCTGCGCGGCCAGCTGTCGCTGTCCTTCGAGGAGTTGGGCGATCACGTCGACCTGGCTGGCGGAGACGGTGGCCTCAGCGGCGGCTGCGGTGTCCGAGGGTGCCTCCTCGGTCGCTGCCACACGCTGCTTCTTTGGCTGCCCCATGAACTTGCTCTGGCAGACCACCTCTCGATGGCCTGTTCTTCCGCACCAGGCACAGATGTCGCGCTCGTGATTGCCATCGCGTTTGCTGTGGGCGGTGGAGCCGCAACCAAAGCACTTGCCTGTCATCGACTTGATGAAGGCTTCGCGTGAGTGCGTTCCATCAATGTCCATCGCGTTGGGGTCTTTCGCGACGAATGGGGCGGCGGAAGTAGTGGCCGGGGGGAGCCGAGGGGGAGGGACACTTTTGCCTTGTTCACGGGCTTTCTCAGCCCTGCACTGGCGAATGCGGACGTCAAGCTCCGCTGCCACAGTTAGGAGCTCGTCTAGGGTGCCAATGGGCCTGGCGGTGTGCACGAGCTCGTCCTTGATGCTGCTGGCAAGGTGCTCATAAAAGCGGTCGCGGAGGTTGGCCGCCGAGTAGCCCGTTCGGCTCATCAGCTCTTTGAACTTGGCGGCGTACTCGGGGACCGTCTTGCTTCCTTGCCAGAGTGCGCGGAGCGCGTCCTTGGCGTCAACCGCCTCGTTGGAGGTTTCGAAGCGGGAGCGGAAGTCGGCCTTGAAGGTGGCCCAGGTGTCCTGGAATGGCCGTTTGGCGACCTCGGCCTCAGCCACTGTCTCGAGGTATGGGGTGGCCCAGATGGCCGCTTCGTCCTGCAGGAAGGTCAGGGCGGAGACAATCCACTTCCTTTCGTCGGGAGTGTACGTGCCGTCTGCCTGCGCGTTGTTGAGGAGACTGCCCGTGGTCATTGCGTAGGTGCTGAACGCGGTGAGGAAGCGGCGGGCATCGGCACTCGAATTGCCCTTGAACGGCATGGGTTTCTGGAGGGCTTTGTCAAGGGTGCGCTCCGTTGCCCCCTGCTGGCGATTGTTGACAGTGGTAGTGAGGGTGGTGACGGCCTGCGTGAGGGCGGTGAGGGCCTGCTGCATCTGGGTCTGGCCCGCGATGAGCGCATTGATCGTTTCTTGGGACATAGTGGGGACCGGGGGTGTGGGTGGAGCTTCGGGGGAGGGGGCGCGTACCGGCGATACGGGACGAGTGAGTGGTGCCGGGGTTGGTGCCCGGGTGCTTGGGAGGGGAATAGATTCCGGGATAAGCCCGCGGATCTGGTCGAGGGTGGTGGGGTGGAAGCGAGGGAGGTTTTCCGAGGCGAGTCGTTGTGGGGCGGTGATGGAGAAGAGGCGGTTGGGGCACGGAAAACTATCGCAGTCGTTCCACAGGTTCTCCCCTGGCTCGTAGTAGCAGTCGGTTTGGTCTATGTGGTCGTAACCGTGCTGCTTGTTGTGGCACTCAAGATCCAGGGTGTCCACTCCCGATCTCGGGATGTTATCCGCAGTCTCGCTACCCGACGCTGTCTGCTCAGCCTCCTCGGCCTATTGCTGCGTCCTTTTACCACAAGGGACACGAGCCCAAGGGTAACCTGCCCTGGCTTCCTGTTGCCACTTTTCTATGCCTCCTACACCCGAAGGTGCACCCGTTACAGTCAACACCGGATTTTACACTGCGGGTCAGGCAGATTCCGCGTATTGTACCAATCAGAAGATCGGCAAGCCAAGGGTTGCGCCCTGACCACTACTCTGGGGTGACAAAGCGCGTGCGCAAGGAGGGACCAACACAGGGGGTGATCACAAACGGAATGGACTTACACGTGAGGGAAGATCTGGTCGGCAGATCTCCGGCACGGTGGGGGATCTTGACCTAATGTCGCGGAGCTAGACTCGACGCGACCAGGCAA